TTTAACTGCAAAGCAGATAATGCTATTAGAAATTGAAATAAAGTAGAAAAACTTACTTTTTGGCATACAAATTACTTTTTTTCATGTTAAATTGTCTGTGTTTGAAAAAATGTGCTGATTTTTCACATGTGTTAGCAGAACTGAATTGGGCATTTACAGGATGAGTCACATCATTTGAAACTTAGCCCTGATTGGAGAAATTGGAAGTGTTACAACTGACCCACGTTACAACTATCCCCGGTCTCCCCTACTGTTTTTTTTAATCGATTTTAAATCATGCTTTTTATTGTTTTTGTTTTTTAATGTCTCTGTAAAGCACTTGGAATCACCTTGTTGTTGAATTGTGCTATATAAATAAACTTGACTTGCCTAATCTCTGTATATTTTAAATATAGATATAATCCATGTAATGTGGAATAAGACGTTAATGCTAATCTTACCATTCTCTGGTAATAGCAGGCTAACACTAATGTTAGCTAATGAGTAATCCTGAATAATAAGTCGTAGCAGTTTATTTAAACCGTATATCCCCTTAGTAGGCTACTGTGTAATGCCTTTAGTTGTTAAATCTATGTTTTCTGTTGGAGAGGTGTCATTCTGTTTTTTAAGATAAACGAAATGCCTACTTTAAAAAAAAAACACATTAAAAGGAGGAGGAAGCTCAGATGTCCCAGTTTTACACTGGGACATGAAGGCAGCCTACGTTTGTGGATCTGTGCAAAGCTGGCAGTCTGAAATTCTGAAAACCAGATGTGGCGATCCATGCGCACATATTTAAGGTTTTGTAAGGCAGCCAGATGAATGTGAGACATTTACACGTACAGAAAGTTTTTGGAAGAGAAAATCCTCAGATTTCTGAAGCTAAACTCTAATTGCTTTGTAAACGTGTGTGCACTGGATTTGGACCATCTATTTTTTGTGCAATTTTATACAAATCATATGGTTGGATTTTCATGCCTGGCTTCAATCAAGTGGGATTCAAATTACCTCATTTACCTTAAATATAATATTGTTTGGTGTGTTTCTGAAGGAAAAGAAAGCCAATTATGGTGTTAATGTTTTATTAATCTTGTGTAAGCAATATATACAGAAATGTCATTATTTTAAGACCAAACCAACCCTACTTCACTTAACTTAACTAAGTTTAACTTATATTAAAACTGTGTCTACAGCTAAGCACTGTTTTAATGTCTTCATATTTTAATCCAAGCTCATAATAAAAATCTATGACTCTCTCACAAAAAAAAAATGCACACAAATCACTGCACACTGGAAATCTTAGTTTACACTTTGTAAGACCTTTCTCTCCACATAGACCCAGTCTTTACTGGTTATTGCCACACTTCTTCCTTTTGACATGTTTTTGAGTGTTGGCTGTAAAATGGAGCCTGTCTTTGTTTCACTTCCCTTTTTTTTTTTTTACCATAACTTTACCATTCCTCCTCCGACACTATTGTGTTACTGTCTTTCCTCATCTAACGGTGTTGCACCATCAGCTTCTTCTTGATTTCTCCATAATTCTAAATCTGCTGCCACCTGCAGAAACCCAGCTGTGGTGCTTGATTTGCAGCAAACTCAGCATGTCTCCTGCTATATCCAGTTGGTCAGCAAGTTATATTTGTATTGGAGACAAACAAAGTAAAAAAAAGAATAAAACACACAAAAATAAATACTTTTTTTTTTTTTTTTTAAAAAAGCTTTCACCTTCCAGTCGTTAACTTCTTTATGTGGCAGTGTGACCTTGCAACCAGTCACACCAACACACCAACATTTTGCGGCATGAAAACTCACATTTCTATCATTTTTATTTGGAAATGTTCTCGTGTTTTAAACTTTCAATACAAAAATGCCACAATTTGACTTGAAAACAGCAGAAAAGCCTTTTCAGCTTATTAAAAAGAATCCAGACATTAGACATTTTCAACATGACCGCAGTGGAAATAAATGGTTGCAGGAAATCTTGTGAAGCTAATTTGTGAAGTTAAATGGTGAGAAAAAAAAACAGAAGTTAAATCGTGACTGTCCAGTGACGCAGAAGTATCAATTTAAACACAAAACAGCCAACAGATACTTAAAGTAATCTTACGTGGATATAACATCAATTACCCACTCGCGGTCTTCTTGTGAAGGTGATCGGCTTCTATCTCAGATGAGGTGTGTCTAATAATTTTCAGCAAAATCTTGACAAATCTTGAAGTAAAATAGTTTACAAATTAAAATATATATATATATATATAAATCTAAACTGTTACGGTGCAGTTTCAACATTCAGCATCGTGTTTCAACATTATTTGTGCAGCCCCGAGAAATCTCAAGAGTAAGAATTTCTGCATTTCAAGGAGGAGGCCTCACAGGTGTATCCATACTCACAGCAGTGCAGACCATCTGCACAACACTGGCCCTGAAATCAGTCAAAAGTGTTTGTGTTAGAACAAAACACCAACCTTGTTCCAGCAAGAGGTGATGGCATTTCTGGGATTTATGCACAATCCTTACCAGTGGGTAGGGACAGCAGTTCCACTGGCCTGAGGATGCCTGGCAGCAAGACATCCCCCCCTGGCAGTAATGTAGGGAATCACAACGAATGACTTGAGCCTCAGGGGAGCCGACGTGTGTTAGAGCTGGTTCTGGTATCTGCAAAACGGGAAGGACAAGCTAACTATTAGCCTGTTCCTCTTATCCAAAAATTAGTCCATTCATCAATTCTCTTAAATGAGGGATAAAGTCTATCTGAGTTGTCACTCAAAGTACACTTTGTATGTAGGGATGGGAATTGATACAAATTTATTATATATCGTAGCATATCAAAGACATTACATTTGCGAAAACTGACTGCATGCTGTGGGTCAAATATTTGCAGGTGCTTGCAAAGTTGCTTCAGCAGCACGATGCAGTTGTTTCTGTCCTGTATGCACTTTGCACCTTACCATTGCAATCTTGTCATTTTAAGCAATAAAAATAAAAGTAATATCCACGTCCAAGACTGTGCCACTGTTTTCCTCCTCTGACAAGAGGAACCGATAAACAGAGTGTGCAAGCAGACTAACAACTCCAAGGAACTGAACTTTTTCTATGTGTGTATGTGAGCGTGTGTGTGATTTTATCTAAAAGTGCTAAAAAAAACTGGTTTCTTTTTGTATTTAATTAATCAAGTTAAACCAGGATTTTTTTTTTACTTTACTTGGCCATCTAAGGAGCAGCAGTATTTCTGAAACCCACGAGGAAAACTACACAGAGTTAAAGGATGCAAAGTTAGAAAAAAAATCAGCAACTGTCCAGGTATGCTCTCATCGTGGTGAGAAACAGCTGATGCATGTGCACTTCTTTTCTTGTCACATATAAAATGATTACAGCAGTCTTGCAATATAAGTGAGCAAACCCACAGCTGTCATCACATTCATGTGACTGGTGAACTCATGTGATCCGGTGTTATTGCTTTATTTATTAACTCCTTGATTCTTTGTGTAACATCGCTTCTTTTCAAGAAAGTGAGGAGTTAAAGCGACAGGCAGCCTTTAAATGTTGTAAGTGTGTCCTACCTCATTCATGCTCTGTTTGTCCTCTGACATAGGGATGACAAAGGCAGGTACTGAAGGCAGCGCTGGCTTATAGAGGAAAGGATATGTAAGTTTCTGTGCAGCGTCCTTCTTCACCATGGGAATGGTCAGCCACGGCTGGTCCAGTTTCTCACACAGCTGTGTCACCAGGTTACAGCGATACCCTGACGGACAGCAGTGGGCCATGTCTGCGCAGCACACCGCCTGCAGAGTGAATAAGACTTATTTCCAATCTGACTTCCAAAACCAACAACAAGGAAAACAATAATTAAAAATAAAAAAACAAAGCAACAACACTCATGGAAAGTTATATTTGTGTGAATATAGCTGACTTACTTTTGGATACTGACAGCAGCCATATCCATACTCAGTCTTGCAGCAGGTAGAGATGTCTGAGCAAGTACTCCCATCAGGACACGTGATAGAGCAAGAAGCAAATCCCCAAACAAACACCCCGACTGACAACCACAGAGTGAGCCTCGACATCTGGAGGGAAGAGCATCACAGTGACTTTTTCCTTTAATTCTTTTCAACTGACATCAAGGTGATATTAAAAAGTAGATAAAGTGCATATTTCTTCGCAGCTTACAAGTCAGACTTTTTGATCATATGTACTCCTGCACTTCTTCGAAAACTTCTTGCTCTCAAATTAAACTTACAAAAACAGGATATTAAACCAATAAATTGCCCATAAAAGATTTTAAAATCAAATCTTTGAGTCACATACCTTCAGATAGGGAAGAGATTCAACAGTTTCCTGTCATATATTTCGCACTTCCCCTATCACTGAAACTTGCATGGCTTTTTATAGTGCAGGTAAGACCCGCCCACTGAGGAGCAGCTGAGAGCTTGACTTCACATCACAGCACTTCTGTCCTGTGACAGTCATATAACAGTTTTTAAGGTTAAAGCTTCTATTTTTAAAGGGAAGTGCATTGTTTACTGGGAAACATAAAGATTAAACAAGGCTTTATGAACACACATTAACCTTTCATACTTCGCACTGTTTTGATCACAAGACCTGCCTGTGAAGTCTCACTGAGACACAGTCCTGCCACTGTGATGAGTGGGTAAATGTTCTCAAACTTTTATTTGTCCTTTACACTCACAGTTGGTGAAAGCTTTATATTTTTTTTATTATTGAAATCCCCTAAACCACGAAATGCCAGCACATCTTTGCTCAAAGGAAACGAATCCCCCCCCCCCACATTAATTCTCAGTTCCCACTTTTATACTTTATGGAAATTACTGCATGCCAATCCAGTGCTAAACGTGTTCTACTCTGCATTTTTCCATCCAGGTATGCTTTTACTGCACTGGCAGCACATTTGGGATCATTGTCATGATAAAAAAAAAAAAATGAAGCTGTTGCCAATCAGATGATTTCCAGATGGTATTGCATGGTGGTCCAAACTCTGAAAGAACTTTGTTTTCATAATGCCATCAATTTTGACAATATATTTCAGCCACTTGCTAAAATGGCCCCAACCATGACAGAGCCTCCAGCGATCACTGAGACTCATTGTGGTAAATCTCTCCTGTATTTATAGATGGCAATTTGAAGCTAAATTTTCAAAGTTTGTAAGACCTGTTGCTACTGATTTTCTGTCCTGTTCTTGTGTAACTTGACATTCCCCAGCCTTTTCTCCTTGTTTCCTTTCCTTAGGAATGGCCTTTTACCAGCCACCGTCCCTCTGAGACCATTTCTGGTGATCTACCTGCTGTTCACTGAAGCTGAAGGGCCTGATGCACCTCCTAGGTCTTTTTCCCCTCTTTCTTAAGAATATGACTTTCAGATGCTGTTCATCTGCCGTGGAACCACTTTGTTGGCATAAAAAATAATTTTATCTGTTAGAGTTATCTTTGCCATTTTTCATAGACTGAAGCCTAGATACAATTTAAAACTGGTTCTGTGTAGACACAAATAGGTTCATCCCTCAGGTTGTAAGGTGCTGTTTTTCATGCTTGAATCATTCACAGGTCAGTTAAGTGGCTTAACAAACAAAAAAAATTGCTTTTAAAAGTGTCAGGTAGAAGCACTGGGCTGAAAGTGTGTGAAAGACTTTCAGAAAGCCGGCAGAACTGTTGCTTGAGACCACTTGAAAAAATACGAGTCTGGCTCCTTAGAGACAAAATATGGAAAAATGAAGGGCAGCTCATAACACTTTCCACAATGGTGTCACACTTTCGGCTCCTGTGGTTTCATCAGTTCATTTTCATCATTCATTTCGCGGCATGACAGATTCAAACACAAAGTCAGACTCATGGTTCAGTAACAGGCATTTAAAGTCTTAGTGAGGCTTACATATTTGTGTTTCTTTTTCCGGTTTCAGAAACAGAATGGAGAAGAACGGGGTCTGAAGAGGCCGAAGCTCCAGCAACCTGGAGACCTGCAACCAACAGCTTTATTACTTAACCAACACTTTCTGGCCTCAGTGTTGTAACTACATAACAGCAGCAAAGGTTAAAACAATACTTTATTATTGAACTCCATTGTTTGTACAATTACACTGCAGTGTAACAACTCATCTAACGAAAACAATTATCCCTTGTATTACTGTATGACTGTGCCGCTCATTTCTTACAACAATGGCCAACTTCAATATGAAGCTGGCGAGACATCTGGTCATCACGTCTACATGCATCACGCAGGCACTAGCATCAACAGCCTCGTGTAGCAATGAAAGATGTCAGGTATGAAGCACAGAGGCTAACTCCTAGAGGGCTAGCATTCTTAAGGTGGTGGGGAGTGCCAGGCACACTCAGATCTCCAGAAAGAGATGGGGGGGGGGAAAGAGAGGGAAGTGTGGGGAGTTCAGTCCTGTCTTTGAGTGAACTTCAGACCAATAATGCAGAAAAATTGTGGTGGTAAAACAAACAAACAAAGGAAAGATATGCACTATTTGTTTCCACTTGGAGGGACCAGCACTTTCTTCCTAATTTTCACTTCACACATAGAAGCCGAGTATTTAGGCCTGCTGCTTCCCCTGTTTAGGTGGAAATCCCCAAAAATTGGATGCGAGTAGTTTTTGGTAGTCAAAGGCAAAGATGACTCTACTTTTGAGCTGTCAGAAAAATGGAAGACATGTTTTCAGTCGAGGTCCGAGTCCGACTGAGACGCCGTCTTCTTTTTCTTTTTTCTGCCATGTTTTTTGTGCTTCCTTTTCCTCTTCTTCTTGGATTTATCCTGGAAAAAAAAGTTTTGCATTTTAGCAACTGATTCGTCTTTTGAACGATGTACAAAGATCTACTGCTCCGCCCACAAAATCTTGTTTGCGGACTGTCTTGAAATAGGAAATGAAGTAAAATGTCTCACTGTGAATTTCTCCTTTTCCTCGCTGCTTCTCTTTTTCTTCTTGGCTTCAACCTGCAGGAGTAGAAAGTTGAAAGGTGACGAAGAATTTAAAAAAGAAAAGAAAATAATTCCCCTAATATTTCACAATAGTGGAAATTTTGCAACAGCTGTAACAGCTGTGTGGTCAATCCAGGATTAAAGATGTTGTCAAACATAAGTCTTCATGACTCCTTTATCTCTCTTCTGAATTATTAAATACAATACATGCAGTACAGATCACTGGTTAGTTAAAGATGGGCTTGTGACCCAGTTTGAGATTATGATTTATTTATTTATTTTATTTCTTGCATCTTGTGTTTTGTAATTTGAATATATTTATTTACTTATTTAAATTCTTAAGGCTGTTTTACTCCTATGTTCAGTAGTTGCTATTTTTAAAAGTGCTTTATAAATGAAGCTGGCTTGGCTAAGAACACCATTTAATCGGTTAAAGAAACTTGACACAAAGATTGACTTCCCCCTACAGTAAAGAGACACGAGAGCTTGAACATCTGGTTGCATAAACATTTTAGGAAAAATGAAACTGATTTGACTTTTGTTCTGTATCACTACTGTATCCAAGTACGGGGTTTAAAGAGGGACACCAGCGAACGCCCTCTATCTGACAGGGCTGAAATGTAAAAGGCTCCATTGAATAACATGAAAAATGGTTCAGTTTGACTGCTTGAATGATTAAAGTAACTAAGGCTTTGTCCAGATAACTATCAGAATGAAAAGGTAACAGTTCAAGACATAAATCCAAGTGGTTCGTATTTCCATCCAATGTCTACATGTGCATCTCAGGGTGAATGCTCAAATAAATAAATAAATAAATAAATAAATAAATAGTGCTCAAAAAGCCAGCAGACAGAAACAAACACGTGATTTATTCAAGTATTTTGGTTGGAGGCTTCTTTTATGTGCAAAACAGGAGGATCACTAATGAGTAACCGACCCCTTTGTGATTACAACAGAAGCCCTCTGAGACACTCAGGTGACATCTGGACCAGAGCCATTGCAGGTTTGTATTTGCCAATTAGCTTTTTATTTTCATAAGATTATTTCTGTTAGTTTCAATTTTTCCCCTAAGACATCTAGTTTTCTTATTTTATTTTACCAAAATATTTTTTCAGATCTAATTTTAAGTTCAGTTTTAGTCAGCTATAAAAAGCCTTGGTCTGCACAAACAATCTGTTCGTGTGCAAACAGCAGTGAAGACAGTCTGCCATAAATATCTGACCTGAGAATAAGATCGACTCAGCTCTGACCAAAAAAAAAAAAAAATGATCAGGGGAGCAATTACAGTGAGGAGCTATTACATTTAAAAGCCGAGAGGACCAAAGAAGCAAAAGAGGAACAAAGGATGAACAGAGAGTAACGCTCAACTACTTCAAGTCTATTTATTAAGTGAGGCGATGGATACATTAGCAATAAAAAAAATTAATGACTGCAGAAATGTGTGATAGAGACAGAAATAATACTTACTGCCTCATCATCATCAGAGTCAGCAGACGACTCTGATGATGAGCCTTTATAACTTCTCTCAGCCTTCCTCTTTCTTCTACGGCTCTTTTCATCCTGATGGACACAAGATTTATTTATTTAAGTTGTTTCGGGAGGAAAAAAGCCAGAGGAATGCATTTTAAATCAAGCGTCGCCATCAAAATGACAGATAAGTGAATAACGGAATAAAAGCAAATCACCTTATCTCTGTCACCTTCTTCCTTTATTCTTTTCCTTTTCTTCTTGGAAAAAGAAAAAAGGACAAAAAATTACCACCACAGTCCATTTCTATAAAACTGCAATGAATCGACTACAACTACATGCAGCATTAGAAAGAAAAACCTTGCTTTCAGCATCTGACTCATCCTCTGAGCTGTCCGATGCTCTTCTGGATGACGACTTCTTTCTCTTCCGCTTCTTCTTTACAGTGTTCTTTTCATCCTGCACGTGCAAACAAAAACTACAATCAGGGTTTTGCTGTATGTGAAGGAAAGCAGGAATCCTAAGATCCATTAAAGTCTTTATAAATCTGATCTCTGTATAATGTACAGTTTACTTTTTTTGTTTTTAACTTTTGGGGGCTTTTTAGACAAGACAGTTTAAAAGTGGACAAGAAAGGTGAGAGAAGGCAGGGAAAAGACATACAGCATATGAAGTCAACAGCCTTGTGGCACACGGGTTGACTGCTCAAGCCAAAAAACTTGCATCACGTTAGTTTTGATAGTAAACTGTCATCCAGCAGACTCCAGAAATGTCCCAACCCAAACCCGTTTAATGCTACATGCCGTGCAGCTGTATTGTGTTACACTAGATTAGGTTCAAATGAAGCACATGAGATTAGGGCTGCACAATTAATCGTTAGAAAATCGCGATCTCAATTCATACTTATGTGCGATCTCATTTCCAAATGACAACGATTAAAAAAAAAAAAAGAAGAAGAAGAAGAAAAAAAGAAGACGACGATTGTACTGCATTTTAATCCGGGACATAATGGTAAATGGCCTGCATTTGTATAGCGCTTTACTCAGTCCCTAAGGACCCCAAAGCGCTTTACACTACATCCAGTCATC